TTATACTACAATAATATACAGTATATATTTGTACCATATCACATCATAGCATGTGTTATGATACAATAATATACAGTATATACAATATCACGTCATAGCACGTGATATAATACAATAATATACAGTATATACCTTATCACATCATAGCATGTGTCATCCTACAGTAATATACAGTATATACCATATCACGTCATAGCATGTTTCATAATACAATAATATACAGAATATATTTATACCATATCACGTCATAGCACGTGTTATAATACAATAACATACAGTATATATTTATACCAGATCACATCATAGCATGTGTCATCCTACAGTAATATACAGTATATACCATATCACATCATAGCTTGTGTCATAATAAAATAATATACAGTATAAATTTATACTATATCACATCATAGCATGTGTTATACTACAATAATATACAGTATATATTTATGCCATATCTCATCATAGCATGTGTCATAATCACATCATAGCTTGTGTCATAATAAAATAATATACAGTATAAATTTATACTATATCACATCATAGCATGTGTTATACTACAATAATATACAGTATATATTTATGCCATATCTCATCATAGCATGTGTCATAATCACATCATAGCTTGTGTCATAATAAAATAATATACAGTATAAATTTATACTATATCACATCATAGCATGTGTTATGATACAATAATATACAGTATATATTTATACCATATCACATCATAGCTTGTGTCATAATACAATAATATACAGTATAAATTTATACCATATCACATCATAGCATGTGTTATAATACAATAATATACAGTATATACCATATCACATCATAGCATGTGTCATAATACAATAATATACAGTATATATTTATACCATATCACATCATAGCATGTGTCATAATACAATAATATACAGTATATATTTATACCATATCACATCATAGCATGTGTCATAATACAATAATATACAGTATATATTTATACCATATCACATCATAGCATGTGTCATAATACAATAATATACAGTATATATTTATACCATATCACATCATAGCATGTGTCATAATACAATAATATACAGTATATATTTATACCATATCACATCATAGCATGTGTCATAATACAATAATATACAGTATATATTTATACCATATCACATCATAGCATGTGTCATAATACAATAATATACAGTATATATTTATACCATATCACATCATAGCATGTGTCATAATACAATAATATACAGTATATATTTATACCATATCACATCATAGCATGTGTCATAATACAATAATATACAGTATATATTTATACCATATCACATCATAGCATGTGTCATAATACAATAATATACAGTATATATTTATACCATATCACATCATAGCATGTGTCATAATACAATAATATACAGTATATATTTATACCATATCACATCATAGCATGTGTCATAATACAATAATATACAGTATATATTTATACCATATCACATCATAGCATGTGTCATAATACAATAATATACAGTATATATTTATACCATATCACATCATAGCATGTGTCATAATACAATAATATACAGTATATATTTATACCATATCACATCATAGCATGTGTCATAATACAATAATATACAGTATATATTTATACCATATCACATCATAGCATGTGTCATAATACAATAATATACAGTATATATTTATACCATATCACATCATAGCATGTGTCATAATACAATAATATACAGTATATATTTATACCATATCACATCATAGCATGTGTCATAATACAATAATATACAGTATATATTTATACCATATCACATCATAGCATGTGTCATAATACAATAATATACAGTATATATTTATACCATATCACATCATAGCATGTGTCATAATACAATAATATACAGTATATATTTATACCATATCACATCATAGCATGTGTCATAATACAATAATATACAGTATATATTTATACCATATCACATCATAGCATGTGTCATAATACAATAATATACAGTATATATTTATACCATATCACATCATAGCATGTGTCATAATACAATAATATACAGTATATATTTATACCATATCACATCATAGCATGTGTCATAATACAATAATATACAGTATATATTTATACCATATCACATCATAGCATGTGTTATAATACAATAATATACAGTTTATATTTATACCATATCACATCATGTGTCATAATACAATAATATACCGTATATATTTATACCATATCACATCATAGCATGTGTCATAATACAATAGCACGTGTTATAATACAATAATATACAGTATATAGTTATACCATATCACATCATAGCATGTGTAATAATACAATAATATACAGTATATACCATATCACATCATAGCATGTGCTATAATACAATAATATACAGTTTATATTTATACCATATCACATCATGTGTCATAATACAATAATATACAGGATATATTTATACCATATCACATCATAGCATGTGTAATAATACAATAATATACAGTATATACCATATCGCATCATAGCATGTGTCATAATACAAAAATATACAGTATATATTTATACCATATCAAATCATAGCAGGTGTCATAATACAATAATATACAGTATTAATTTTAACAGCTTCTGTGAAGCCTACTGTATAATAACATTATTATAACAACTCCTTAGCTGTACGCAGCATCATCATAGGTATTGTAACACTAAGCAACAAATAAATGATAAAAAAAAATACATCGAAAAAATGGCAAGGTGAAAAGTCCACATGAAAGGGAAATTTGACATTTTATTTTATTCCGTACATAATAAATTACCACTCCAAAAAGCAGAGATATTTGTATAGGTCTAGGCACCTCCAGCAAGGAATAAACACCACCATTGTCATGTTGTCTGTAAAATATCAATTCATTTAGCCGGGGAATCCACTTCTTTCTCCGTGTGTGTTTGTGTGTGAACAAATGGTTTGACGCTAACAACGGTAAAATTGAATTACACCTCGATGTGCCTGCGACAACGGAGGAGTTAGAATCAAAGACGGCACAGAATATTGATCGACTGTTTGGATGGAAGCGGCCGCTCTTCTGTGTAACTGATCTGTCACAGATCAGTGAGTATCACAATCAGAAAGTTTGTAAAGGTCCTTAATCACACTGTTGACATAACGTCAATAGGGCTCATGAACATTTCCTTAACCTTGAACTTTTCTTTGGACCTTTATTATGTACCCTTTTTATCATCCCAGTCATGAACCACCTTTGACTTTCCTTGTAACCTTTGAACTTTCCTCAATAACCTCTGTACCTTTGAGCTTCCCTCTCTGACCTTCCCACCTTCAAGTATTCCTCTCCAATTTTCTACATTTGACTGTTATATATAAAATGTATTACATAAATGTCAGTTTATTGTCTTATTTAAATCAAAATTGTCTTTTCATAGAAGACTTATAAAATGGCTATCTGAAATGGCTGATGACATGAAAATACATCTAACAGAAAACAGTTATTTTCCCTTCTTAGTTGATACTTTAGACCTAGTTTTATCTGTCCATTTACACCTGTACAGGACAGGTAAAAGAGTACATTACCAGTGCACAATCTCTCCTTCATCTTTTGCCTCACCTTTAATTGACCTTTATTCCAGTCGACTAAATTTGATACTTGACCAAACTAATTGCTATTAACCTGTAACCTCTGACCTATTACTTTGACCTCCTTTTTCACCTATAACCTCTCAACCCATTTACTTTGACCTTTAATTCTCCTATGACATGTGACCCCCTATTATACCTTTCTCTTTTATTGTTCCTCTCCGACTTTCGTCTGTGATAAACCAGACTTGACCGTTATCCTGTGACTGTCAGGTTTGATGAGCTACCTAATGTAAGATTAGAGCACCAACTTCACCACTGAGCCTAATTACTTCTCTATTTCAGTTCCATTTGGAGAGATACAATACATTGCTAGTCATACACATATTGCCAGTCAATGCCATGCTGCTAAGATGTTCACACAGAGTTCAATACCAGAAAAATAGCATCTACTTCATTGACAAGCACCCACTGCAAATTGTGTTCTAGGTATTAAGTCTAGAACAGACTGAAAAGATTGAAGAACATTAAAACAAAGCAGTAATGAAACAAAGAAAGCTGGAGATTACATAGACATACCCCATCTCTAACAAAGAGGTCAAATGTGACCTTCGGCCCTTCAACCTTGACCAATGATCACCAAAATCTAATTGGTGTTGAGCATGAAGTTATTATACTATAGTGAAAATATCTACTTAATCTGATTATGGTATTGTTAGGTATCTTGGATACAAGCTTTTTCACTTCAAAGTGATCAAGCCAGACCTTTGACCCTTTAACATTGACCAATGATGACAGCTACCAAAATTCAAAAGGTGCCAATACACCAAATTTGATAACTGCATGAAACAAACAGATTTAATGATATCAGTCATTAAGTTCAAAAGATAGGTCACAGTGACCAACTTTTGGTTATATAGGTCACAATGACCGTCTTTTGGTAAAGGCAGTCTTTCAATTTTAGATGTACATGCCTATCAAGTTTGATAACTTCAAGTGAAAAAGTAAACGAGATATTGCCTACCCAAACTTTAAGGATGAAAGAACGGATCAAATAAGGAACCAAAAACCTGGAAAATTGGAAGACGGAATATGAAAGATAGAATATGGACAGACCGAGTGCAGGCCTATAGTCTGTACTGGTAGTACTGACTGAGGACAAATAAAATGCAAGGTTCCAGCAGAGCCTAAGCCCTGCAGGTGGACCCCATGCGACGATACCACTCCAGGTAAAAGTCCCTGGTTGGTGTCATCAGAGGTCAAATTCCTAAATCAAATCATACACAAAATTGTCCTAAATGCAAGAAAGGTTTGATGATTTATTTTTTCAATATAAACATTTGCCGAGGAGATTAATTAATGGATGAGTGTATGAGAGGGAATAAGAGATAAATAACTCACTTTCGGTGTGCCTGTCTTGGACCAACAGTTGGTAGACACTATCGGGCACTTCAGACAGCCGGAAGTACCACTTGATCCCCACCACCAGCGTCTCACGTTTGGTCTACAAAATGAAAATCACAGTCAATGTTACACACATCAAGTGATAGCCAAATCAGTTGTTTGTCCTACTCCTCACCAGATGTCCTTGAGGAGCAGCCAATCATAGCTACAAAATATCAACACAGAACCAAGACAGACTAAGGACAATACCACGTCTGCTAATAACACAGAACCTCACCAATAACGTCCTCTGCGGTCTCGAGGGAAAAAATATGTTTAAACAAATGTTGAATTTAGAAAACTTGAGAAGAATACTCTAAGGAATAACAAGACAAGCCGGGTCGGTGAGCGGTGATAATAAAGTGGTGTAACAATCTGTGTGTATACCATACATGTTACAGTGAATAGTCCCCCGAGACATGAGTACATTCTCTGTATTGATTGTACAACCGCTAGGTGAGTAGCCTTTGTTACAGCACACAAGTCAGCATCAACTTAGCTTTTCATCAGGTATAAAAATACTAGGTATTACTAGGTATCACATACAACATCTTACACACAACCTGAAATAAATGTTCTTAATCGTTTTCAAATAATATTGTATAGGATTTTCAAACTGCTGTACCCCCCAGGTATAACACACTACACGGTATAACACACTACCAGGTATCACACACAACCAGGTATCACACACTACCAGGTATCACACACTATCAGGTATAACACACTACCAGGCAGGTATAACACACTACCAGGCAGGTGTAACACACTACCAGGCAGGTATAACACACAACCAGGTATCACACACTACCAAGTATAACACACAACCAGGTATCACACACTATCAGGTATCACACACTACCAGGTATCACACATTACCAGGTATAACACACTGCGAGGTATCACACACTTTCAGGTATAACACACTACCAGGTTTAACACACTACCAGGTATCACACACTATCTGGTATAACACACTACCAGGTATCACACACTACCAGGTATAACACACTACCAGGTATCACACACTATCAAGTATCACACATTACCAGGTATAACACACAACGAGGTATCACACACTATCTGGTATAACACACTACCCGGTATCACATACTATCAGGTATAACACAATCTACCAGGTATAACACACTACCAGGTATCACACACTTTTAGGTATAACACACTACCAGGTATCACACACTATCTGGTATAACACAATACCAGGTATAACACACTACCAGGTATCACACACTATCAGGTATAACACACTACCAGGCCGGTATAACACACTACCAGGCAGGTATAACACACTACCAGGCAGGTATAACACACAACCAGGTATCACACACTACCAAGTATAACACACAACCAGGTATCACACACTATCAGGTATCACACACTACCAGGTATCACACATTACCAGGTATAACACACTACGAGGTATCACACACTTTCAGGTATAACACACTACCAGGTTTAACACACTACAAGGTATCACACACTATCTGGTATAACACACTTCCAGGTATCACACACTACCAGGTATAACACACTACCAGGTATCACACACTATCAGGTATAACACACTACCAGGTATAACACACTACCAGGTATCACACACTTTTAGGTATAACACACTACCAGGGATCACACACTATCTGGTATAACACACTACCCGGGATCACATACTATCAGGTATAACACAATCTACCAGGTATAACACACTACCAGGTATCGCACACTATCTGGTATAACACACTACCAGGTATCACACACTACCAGGTACCGCACACTATCTGGTATAACACACTACCAGCTATAACACACTACCAGGTATCACACACTACCAGGTACCGCACACTATCTGGTATAACACACTACCAGGTATCACACACTATCAGGTATCACACACTACCAGGTATAACACACTACCAGGTATCGCACACTATCTGGTATAACACACTACCAGCTATAACACACTACCAGGTATCACACACTACCAGGTACCGCACACTATCTGGTATAACACACTACCAGCTATAACACACTACCAGGTATCACACACTATCTGGTATAACACACTACCTGAGGTATCACACACTACCAGGTAACACAATACTATAAAACAATACCAGGTATAACATATTACCAGGTATACCAAAGGATATTTACAGTTTACCTTTGTACGCTCTATCTCTACAGTAAGACATCTACACTCTACCATCTATTTGTATAATTATATATCAGTTGTAAATCTTTAGAGGCCTAGTATCTAATCTCTACAGCTGTATTGTCTTATGTTGATATGTGCGACAGATAATGTTGATATGCGTGACCAGATAAGTGACATTTAATTAAGATAAGGATCACACCTCTCAACATAGGGGTTCTGATCTAAAGCTGACCCTCAGTACTCCTCAACCCATCCGCTAACTCTGCTTACCCCTTAAACCAGTTATAATTACCATACCCCTCAGCAGTCCTCAAACCATCCGCTAACTCTTCTAACCCCTTAAACCTCAGTTATCATATGTATACCCCTCAGCTATGCATCTTACCCCTAGAACCTTAACAATCGTCACTCCCTTTAATCACTCTGCTAACTCCATGAACCTCGGACACCTCCACTCTGCTAACTCACTGAACCTTAACAAACCGAAACCCTTCCGATAATTCCCTGATCATGACCCTCAACAGTCCTCAACCCCTCAGTCGCTCCACTAACCAGGCATTAAACAGCAGACACTGAGTGTAATTAATCCCCAATTAACACATAAATTAATCAGTGTATTGGCTGTTATGACCTGGCGTGCCGTGTCTCTGGCTGTTATTGACTTGAGCTAGCTACAAACTCCCAGTATTGATCCCCCTGTCAATAGTGCCATTTATTCAATCTGCTGAGGCCCTTTATTTGCTGAATAATAAATACATATTGTGTTCACTGCTTGTATAATAGTTTGAAATCCTAGCCCCCTTTTTTGAATTGCACGTCTTTCAACAATAAATAAATACCTAGGCCTGAATAAATATGAGGATTTGATGGTGTTTTATGTGTGTGTTAGCTAATGTATTAACACAATGCCAGGACAAACCACTTGACTGGCCTATAAGGAACTTCAGCACTTGATACAACATTGGCTGATATGATTTACATCGACAATCAGCGGCAAGCTGAGGCTTCAACAACACTTTGGTTACAACAAACGCTCTAATGGTACTTCGGAGACATCAAGCATGCAAATCGGCATGTGCGGGGAAAAAATGCTAGCACATAATTAATCTGTTGATTATCGCGCAAATGCTCGTGATAGCAAAATAAGACAGAAGGGGAAGCCAATATCACCATCACCAACCAAGGGCTAATTACCCACAAATCAGTACTCTTCTCTTAATATAATGTTAAATAAAATGACCTGAGCGCATATAACCTTCATTATGTAAATTAGTGATAGAGTGTGTTGTACAATACTGAGATTCGTCTATAGAACAGATCGTCTATAGAACAGATCACTGCCTCTCTCACACAAAACCTTTCATCTGGCAGCATGGGAAATAACATGCAAAATTAGCATATTATCTATGGAGATAGCACATCCTAAACTAGCAATCAGAGGACTGCACTGGAAAGCCTCCTCTCTAATTACTTTATGATGAACCTTTTGGGCCTGAGGTTCTATCTGTAAGGTTGTGGTGCAGGCTGTCTATAAAGCTATATGGCTGGTAGCTGTTATGAGACGTCTTATGATAAAAAAATTGACATATGACTATAACTTAAAATGGTTGGTAGTGTCGTATGATAAACACTTTGCGGTTTGACTATAGCTATATGGCTGGTAGCTCTAATAAGTGTCGTACAATTAACACTCTGTGGTTTGACTATAGCTATATGGCTGGTAGCTTTATTGAGTGTCGTACAATAAACACTCTGAGGTTTGACTATAGCTATATGGCTGGTCGCTCTAATAAGTGTCGTAAAATTAACACTCTGTGGTTTGACTATAGCTATATGGCTGGTCGCTGTAATGATTGTTTTATGATAAACCCTCTAGAAGAGGTTTGACTATAGCAATATGGCTGTTAGCTCGAATAAGTGTCGTACAATAAACACTCTGAGGTTTGACTATAGCTATATGGCTGGTCGCTGTAATGATTGTTGTATGATAAACACTCTGAGGTTTGACTATAGCTATATGGCTGGTCGCTCTAATAAGTGTCGTACAATTAACACTTCGAGGTTTGACTATAGCTATATGGCTGGTCGCTGTAATGATTGTTGTATGATAAACACTCTGAGGTTTGACAATAGCTATATTGCTGGTAGCTTTAATGAGTGTTGTACAATAAACACTTAGAGGTTTGACTATAGCAATATGGCTGGTAGCTCTAATAAGTGTCGTACAAGAAACACTCTGAGGTTTGCAATAGCTATATTGCTGGTAGCTCTAATAAGGGTCGTACAATAAACAATCTGAGGTTTGACTACAGCAATATGGCTGGGAGCTTTAATGAGTGTCGTACAATAAACACTTTGAAGTTTAACTATAGCTATCTGGCTGGTCGCTGTAATGATTGTTGTATGATAAACACTCTGAGGTTTGACTATAGCTGTAGGGCTGGTAGCTCTAATAAGTGTCGTACAATAAACACTCTGTGGTTTGACTATAGCTATATGGCTGGGCGCTGTAATGATTGTTGTATGATAAACACTCTAGAAGAGGTTTGACTATAGCAATATGGCTGTTAGCTCGAATAAGTGTCGTACAATAAACACTCTGAGATTTGACTATAGCTATATGGCTGGTAGCTCTAATAAGGGGCGTACAATAAACACTCTGAGGTTTGACTACAGCAATATGGCTGGTAGCTTTAATGAGGGTCGTTCAATAAACACTTTGAAGTTTAACTATAGCTATATGGCTGGTAGCTTTATTGAGTGTTGTACAATAAACACTCTGAGGTTTGACTATAGCTATATTGCTGGAAGCTTTAATGAGTGTTGTACAATAAACACTTAGAGGTTTGACTATAGCAATATGGCTGGTAGCTCTAATAAGTGTCGTA